ACTCTGAAATAGTAAAGTAAAAAAGAAAAACATGTTCTATGTGACCTTGAGGGAAATAGAAAACAAGCTCATTTTCACGAGGCACAGTAACTAAAGGGGACCAGTACATGCCTTCCATAGCTCCGTATACAGCGTTGTCTCAGCATCCACTAACAAAATAAACTCAAAAATCAGAAGCCAGAAAAAAATCGAAAAATTCCAAATAATCGCCGAAATTTTTACATTTCCAGATGCTTGAAATTCCATTTTCCACCGTTACAGGATTCGTGTAACCCATAGTCGAAACCTCAGAAGCAGCCATTTCTTTACATGCTTTTTTTAGCCCAGACCTCACATCTCCAAACCCCACAAGCAATCAACATAAAACCCCGAAAATCCCACACTTAACAAGACTTGAGATGGGTAAATTAACAGGATTGTTGATTGAAGGTCAAAAACTACCTGACGGCGGATTATAAACTTAAAATGAGTTCTCAATCGACGTTGATTCGCCTGAAAATTCAACGTTGATGGCGGCTAGAGGCAGAGAGAGTTTCACAATTTGATACAATGAGAGGAAGATGGGGTACTTTTTAAATTGGGTTGGACAAAGAATCAATTTTTCAGTTTGACCTTTTTTTTTTTTTTTTTTTGTATTCACCACATTGATCTCTTGTCACTAAAAAGATAATTGTGCCCTTATTCATATTCCACAATTATAAAAGTATATCAATTCTTTAAAAGACAATAATACCCTTAATAGTTTAAATAAATTCAGTTACTTCCACACATAAATTTCAAAATCAATTTTGCTTATCAATTTCTCCAATACAGTAAAAAAGAATTTTTTCCTTCCATCTGCTAAAATAGTGAAATCTCCCAAAATTATCAAAGGTTCAACAAAGAAACAATACTCACAGTCGGCACTGGAAATTGGTAAGTGTAAATACATATTTTTAATTTTGTTTTAGTTAAATTTACTGTTTGAATCTTTAAATTATTTTTTTGACAAAGGCAGATGAATTTTACAGTATTTAAACACAGATTTATAATTTTTTTATAGCAAAAACAACAAAAAAATTCATCTCTATATGCATATATTTTACAGGAAAAATTAATAAGTGTTTGTAAAATAAATATTTAAACATTTATTTCATTGAAAAAGGGAAAAAATAAAAAATTCGAGTGTAAATTTTAGATGAAACGGACGAAAAAAGTTGGGCCAAATGTCTTCAGCCAGCCCAATTGTTTCCGGAAACAGCTGGTTGCAGCTGCGTCCAGCCGGCCCAGCCATTTTTTTCCCCCTCCCCTCTCCTTTCAGATTTTAGAATTTATTTGTTCATTAATTTATTGAAACAAATATTAATGAATATTTAAATACTAATTGAAATAAATATTTTTGAAACAATTAAAATAATCAATGAATTATTTAAAGTATTAAATTAAATTAAATATGAAATGAACAATTTAAAAAATTATATATTAATTCCTTATTTTTAATTTGTAGCAGATATGACATCAGCATGTGTCCCAATTTGTTATTTTGGTAAATTTCATATGAATGAAAATGCTCAGTGGGAATGGAAATGGACGAGTGAAGGAGATGGGGTTAAAGCAATTTTTATAACAAGGAGTACATCGTTCGCAGAAATGTACAGTGATATACAAAACATGCTTAACGTCGATCCCTCTCAGTACGATATGGAATTGTAACGTCGATCCCTCTTAGTACGATATGGAATTGAGATTTTTGTTTCATAAGCATTCAACCATTTCAATTCCACCTATGAAAGTTACTTCTGAAGTGGAAATGAAACATCTAATTAAATTGAACCAAGGCCGGAAGTCGACTCCTATTTGCGTAACTTTATTGAGGAAGAATGTCCACGAAGGTGAATACGAAATTTCAAATAAAGAGAATCGTAATGTAAATGATGTTTGGGATACAATTCAGATTGTTCGTGAAGATGATGTGGTTATTCCCGAGACCACTGCTACTCACCATGATCACACTGTTACG